TCCCAAGCTAAGCCTGTCATCTCGCCGCTTCTCTAAGAGCCGACGCAGCGGATATCCTTCAGACTCTTCCCGAAAACAAAAGGAATATAAAGCAGATGATTTTACCAGACAAGTCAGTGGCTTGAGACGGAACAGAAGTGAAAAGAAACTAATTCTAAAGTGATGGAACTGCGGAGTTGAAGGCCACATACGAAGAAACTGCAGAACACCCCGAGGTACGGAAAATAAGACCATTTCCCAGCAACAACGCAGTAAACAAATTAGTGACCATATCGAGGAACGGAGGTTGCCAGATAGTGAAAAAAACCTTGTTTTAAAGCTCTTAAAATTTATACAGTGAGTGGCAACAATAACGGACTGTCCATCAATGGGAATATCGATGGAGTTCCTTGCAGAATGATCATTGACACAGGACTAATTTACCATCATTAGGAAAGATTTAGCTGAACAGTTTAAAGATAAACTTATTGGACGCCATCCTGTGTTACCCTTCAGACTGCGTCTGGTGACAAGATCGACATAACTGGAAGTTAAACGTAAACATCACGTTTGGAAGTGCCGCCTACCATCACACGGCATCTTTGGCGGATATTACAGATCCATGCATACTCGGATTGGACTTTTTAAGGAAATATACAATTTTTCCTTAGACTTGAAAACAAAAAACTGCTTTCAGAATCTGAAGACATGACTATCCATCCTAAGAAGGGATCCTCACCTGGAAATGCCGACGCTTTGTCCGAAAGAACCAGCTCGAGAAACAGCCGAAATCATGCTAGGGTCGAAAAGAAACACCAGACTACCAGCTATTCTCCATCTCAGATGCTCTTCAGTCGAGACCTTCGTCTGCCTTGTGACCGCCTGTTTCATCGCCGTACGGATGCGCCTTCATCGCCTGAGGAACACTCCAAGATGTCCAGGCCCGTTTTTGAAGTGATGCACCGTTTCGCACGAAAGCGAGTGAACTTGGCGACGGAGAAAGTGAAAACCAGATACAACACGAAGCTGCTGGACATAGATCCAACGAAGGAGACAGGTGTGGTTGTGGAACCCCGATTCGACGAAAAGGAGTCAGGCCTAAATTACAGTCACCTTGGATTGGTTCGCACACAAATCCTAAACAGGCTAAATGACGTCATGGTTCGGATTCGTAAGTCTTCGAACTCTAAACCTAAAGTCGTTCATTACGACAGGTTAGTCATTACTATGGGCCATAGTACATAATGTAATAATTGTAAATAGTATAAGACCATGGTCCTTTTTGTTTTTAAATGTGTATTTGATTGTATTTGATAGCATTTGATTTGTTTAATGTTATTGCATTTATTGTTCATGTTGTTATTATTGTAATGTAATGCTTATTAATGCATTTATGCCACAGTTGTAAGTTTTGCTTCCTGTCCAGGATTGTACTGCCCGGGACGTGCAGTCCTTGGGAAGGGGGCAGTGTTACGAATTTGGTATTTAAAAAAGCTAATGTTAGTTCAATTAGAATTAAATGGTTTTATTTCTCGCGCAGTGCAGCGCGTGACGAATATTAAAAGAAGCTAAGCCGGAAAATTGAAAATACAAGAGCGCGTGCATTAAATAAATAAATATCTCTTCTTGATTTCGAGAAGTACTGGAAAATTCTAGCGCGTGATTTTAAAATCTTATAAAAGGAGGAAAACATCTCAGTTTGTAGTAGTTGTTGCTTAGTTGTTGTTGTTTTAGAAAACTACTGTTGTTGATTGTAGCGAATTCGCGGATTAGCGTTCTTTAGCTGTTTTGAATTACGTTCTATTGGACATTTGAGTAGTTAAAAGAAAACTATGTGAGATATTGTAATACTGCATGATGATAATTTGAGAAAATTTAAGCATTTTTTGTTGTGATAATAATAAATTTTTGTTCATTTTTCATCGGACTTGTGCATTCATTTCATAACGAACCCTTACGCACGCAACAATTTTGGTGTTAGAAGTGGGATTTGAATGCCAATAACAAAGCGATGAAAACAATTGAGACAGCTCATTAGTGCTTTGCTGCATTCCAAGAAGATGGAAGCTGGCCAAGCATCATTTAAGGAAGAAATGAAATTGGGCCAGGAATCCGTTAAGGAAGAAATAAATGAAATTGGGCCAGGAATCCGTTAAGGACGAAATGAAAGCCGTTCAAGCTTTTTTGAAAGCGTTCAAGCGTTCAAGCGTTCAAGCGTTCAGCCGTTCAAGCGTTCAAGCAAGAAAATTTAAGCATTTTTGTTGTGATAATAATAAATTTTTGTTCATTTTTCATCGGACTTGTGCATTCATTTCATAACGAACCCGTACGCACGCAACAATATCAATAGAAGCTACTTAGATAAAATAGGAGAAAAAGGCAGACTCTACTTTGGTTTTACTTCCTGTCCCTTCAGAAAATACTATCGCCTACTCCGGTGCTTCAACTGCCAGGGTCTCGGACATCACAGTAGCATTTGCAAAGAGAAACCTTGCTGCGTCCGCTGTGGACAGCATCACGACACTCCGATCCAGGATTGTCAGGAGACGCCGTCCTGCATCAACTGTCAACACTCGAATAGCAAACTCAATTCTAACTACGACCTCAACCATTCTGCCAACTCATCACAATGCCCGACCTACAAACTGGAACTGCAACGACTCATGAGAAAACCTCTAGCTTAATACGTACCAGTACTTCTTTGCTTTCTATATCTTCTATTAAATTCGCACAGTGTAATTTACAACGCTCCATAGTTGCCACTTGCCACTATTTACATCAACTACTGAAAAAAGATATTCAAATAGCAATTTTACAAGACCTATGTCAACAAGATCTAAACTCGAAGGTTCCACAGCGCACTTCAAACATTTTTCTCCAATAACGCTTAGCTGCCACAGTTCTCAATAGTAATTCTCTCCTATGCTCTAGAAAACAACAGAACATACTGTCTCCATACGTCTCATCTACTGGACTTCCAAATATAATAATTTTCGTTTATTTTCCTCCAAGTTTGGATATTGACTCCCTTCTATTTGAATTGGATTATATTCACCAGCAACACCTTCCAACAGTCCTCATTGGTGGTGACTTCAATGCGTCAAGCTCACTATGGGGCTCAGTCACTGATAATGCCCGCTCCGTTCCAGTAATAGAATTCATAGAGTCTAACTCTCTAACAGTTCTCTCACAAGAAATTTAGCTCCCTATGTTCAGAAGTGGACAGTGGACGACCTTCTCACTTTAAGTGATCATAGGTCTATTTCATTTACACTTGAGAAACCATGTCAATATATCATCAAAAGAAGATTAAAAGTTTCAACTCACCGCATCCAAGCCTTGCAGCGGAGTTTAACTCCTTTTATAGAAAACATCAACTGTAAATTTCAACAATGTTCTACACAATCAGACCTCGATCAAGTATATAATTACTTTATTTCATGCTACACAAGAGCATGTGAGGAAACCTTTCGATTGATGAAGAAATCTTTTTCACATTCCAAAGCCTCTTGGAGGACACCTGACCTTCAAAGGAACGTAGCACTGTACGGAAGCAGAGACGCTGTGCCCAAGCACAGACTCGATCCCCTGCAACGTCAGCGACTCTTCCAGCAGTACAAAAATCTTACGCAGAATACAAAGTCATATAGCTATGGCAAGCAATCCTCTTGGAGAGACTTTTGTTCTCGAACTGTTATAGTTACGGAATTGTTTTTAAAATAGCCATGGACCGCGTTTTCCCCCAAGGCTCTGCCTGCCTCCCTCAAACCTACTGCGAAGTCTGCATCTGAAGTTTTGAATATATCTTATCCGAACTATTCCTCCATGATTCTCCAGCCACAGATACCACCCAACAGGCGAAGCTTCGAACAACTTTGACCAGGCATCTCCAAACTTCACTACAATATACAACTACCTACAGAATATGAACTATCTAGCATATCTCAATTGAACATCAAGAAAGCCACTGGCCTGACAGTTGGACAACGCCTTTATCAAGATGCTATACCGACTTTTTTCCTGACACGTCCTTCTATTCGTACACTCTTTTTGGAAATTAAGGCACTTCCCTCAACTCACCAAAAATGCAGATGTCGTTCTTTCTGAAAAAAGATAAAGATCCAACACTTGCACTTCTTATAGGCCCCATCTGTCTATTACCAGCCTTTGGGAAACTGCTGGAACGACTCATTCTTGGTCGCTTGCAATTCTTCTTGTCTTCGAACATTCCTGACCCATCGCAATTCGGCTTTCATGAAAGGAAGGCCACGGAACATCCATTAAAGAACTGATGACTATTACACCGATAACAAGCTAACAATGACATACGCTGATTATACGTCTGGACATCCAGGGAGCCTTTGACTCTCTGTGGTGGCCAGATATTTATAATATGTTGGCTGCCATGGATTGTCGAGGACCCTCCTGGACTTAATCCGCAGTTATCTCAGTATCGGAGAATACAACATTGTCAGACTCTGGTACCATCCATTATGACTAAATAAAGGATGCCACAGGGTTCCTGTTGGGCCCATTTTATTGATAATCGTGCTAACTCCATTCTTCATCAGCTAGCTAATGAACAAATTGCAAAATCTTGGCTTATGCGGACGATTTTCTCTTGGTCATCTCAGGAAGATCCAAATTGGAATCTACGCTCATATTACATCGACATTTTCACCGCCTGGCACGTTCGCACAAATCTCCATCTCAACTTCCAAAACTCAAGGAAGGGTAATAGGCGTCTCCAGACCTTTAAAAGCGGAAACCCTCAATATAATGAATGGCATCCCAATTAAATAGTACCGCAAATAAATATCTTGGAATCTACTGGACCATAGACTCAGGATACACACTTTCGTTTCTCAAATCGAAACTCTGCACCTCCACAGTAGTATGAAAACGCACACAACAGCTGCCACATGGGGATTTCCTTCCAGTCCTTAAAATATGGTACCGATCAGTCATTGAAAAGTTTATACTCTATGGCTCAGGAATCTGGGCACATCATTTAACAGGTCATGAGAGGAATATTCTCCAATCCCTACAGAGGCTATCGAACAACATCCACAGCAGCATTACAGGTTTTAGCAGGAATTCCACCGACCGACCTCCTAGCTAAGAGAGAAGCCACACTCTGCCATATCCTACGACTTCGCCAAAACTCTGCTTTATGGGAACAATTTTACTATGCTGATCAATATGAAACTAAGCTCTCATCTCCTCTCTGTCACCCAGCGGCTTTTGACCTTTCACGACAAATAAATTTGCAACATATCTTATCCACTTCTGCATTTGAAATTTATACTGACGGATCCAAAATGTCCATGGGAACAGGGAGCGGATTGTGCATTATGCAAGGCTCCACCATCCTGAGAGAGTGGCGTCGACGCCTGGGTCTGCATAATTCAATTTATCAGGCAGAACTTATGGCAATAAAAAAGGCAATAGCACTTTCCTATATGTTCTCCACTCAAACTACAATTTACTGTGACTCTATGTCCAGCCTTATGGCTATATCCAATCCGGACATTCGCTACCCTTTGGTCCGTTCGATTCAAATTTCACTTCTACACCTTCCACCTGAATTACGTCCAATTCTTTCATGGATCCCAGCTCATAAGGGACATGTCGGGAATGAGCGGGCTGACACAACGAGATAATATACTGGTAGAGAGCGTATTGCAACCTTCAACCGGTTCCGACATTAGTGTCACGTGACTGCTGCGCGAATTCAGAAAGTCCGGAAATACTTTACATTGCTTTCTATGGGACGAAAGACTGCTGCTCTGCTTGGTCACATAAAATTTAAAACTAAAATGGTTATTCGCTGCAGCGCCTACGGAGTAAAGAAAGTTTCGTGAAAGGAGGACCTATAACCTTTCAGAGGTAAGTTAAAACTGCATGATTTATTATTTCATTTTACTATCTCTGTTGAATTGGTTGGAAGTTTCAGCCATATTGTATAAGAAATGCCGCCGTATATGACATTTCAGCATGTATTATTAGCATCAAAATGTATAAATACTGTGCCATATTACTGGAATCACCCTTACAAATAATTGAATTTTATATGTTTTTCCGTGTATTCCGTTGAAATAGAAAGTTGCGCCATTGGCGTTAACCTTTTTTCGCCAAGTCGTACGCGTTTTGATTTCATAAACAATTACTGATTGCGAAAAAAAAAAAAGAAAAATGCTATTATTCATTAAATTATTGAGAAAAGATGTGCGATATGTTTACTTTACTTTGTTTAAAAAAAAGCTGAAGATCTTGATTCATGCAACATTGAACATAAACAGTTAAACAGCATATTTTAAAAATCAGATTACTTTTATAAGCTCAATGCTTATCTTATTTTCTATAAAATCAATTAAATAAAAATAATCGGATTATATAATTCTGTCTCATCTACGATGCTGTTAGAAATTTATTGTAATTGAAAAATGTGATGTGAAAACTATCATATTTTAAATAGTATTTTTTAAAAAAAAAGGAGAGTGAGAGAATTTTTAACTGTAATATCGTTTGATCCTAATAATAAATACTGAGTTGAAGTTTGTTACCGTTTGATACATATTCATATCAAATATTTGTTAAGTTAATAAGATGTATTGAATCCCTGCCATGACATACACATGAGCGTGGAAATCAGTAATTAAGATTGATTATTTTGTCCCAGTATATAATCTCAAGAAAAGAGTGCGCATTATTTGTCAGTAATATAACTCAAGAAAGAGAGTGCATATTTTGTCCAGTAATATAATCTCAAAAAAGAAGCAATCATGGCAAAATATATAATACAATGTTGATTTTCTTTTTCTCTTTAGGATGAACGCATTAAAACCTCAAGAAAAGAGAGTGCATTATTTTGTCCCAGTAATATAATCTCAAGAAAAGAGAGGCAATCATGGCATAAATACATATAATACAATGTGTTTTCTTTCTTTTCTCTTTAGGATGCAACGCATTAAACCTCAAGAAAAGAGAGTGCATTATTTTGTCCCAGTATTAACTCAAGAAAGAGAGGCAATCAATGGCATAAATACATATAATACAATTTGATTTTCTTTTCTCTTTGATGCAATTAAAACCTCAAGAAAGAGAGTGCATTATTTTGTCCCAGTAATATAATCTCAAGAAAAGAGAGGCAATCAATGGCATAAATACATATAATACAATGTGATTTTCTTTTTCTCTTTAGGATGCAACGCATTAAAACCTCAAGAAAAGAGAGTGCATTATTTTGTCCCAGTAATATAATCTCAAGAAAAGAGAGGCAATCAATGGCATAAATACATATAATACAATGTGATTTTCTTTTTCTCTTAAGGATGCAACGCATTAAAACCTCAAGAAAAGAGAGTGCATTATTTTGTCCCAGTAATATAATCTCAGGAAAAGAGAGGCAATCAATGGCCTAATACATATAATACAATGTGATTTTCTTTTTTCTCTTAGGATGCAACGCATTAAAACCTCAAGAAAGAGAGTGCATTATTTTGTCCAGTAATATAACTCAAAAAGAGAGGCAATCAATGGCCATAATACATATAATACAATGTGATTTTCTTTTTCTTTAGGATGCAACGCATTAAAACCTCAAGAAAAGAGGAGGCATTATTTTGTCCCAGTAATATAATCTCAAGAAAGAGAGGCAATCAATGGCATAAATACATATAATACAATGTGATTTTCTTTTCTCTTTAGATGCACGCATTAAAATTAAACGAGATTTTTTTACCTTCTCAATATTATAACAGTAGTGCAATTAATTTTTTAACGTTATTCAAAATTAAAGTTTCCATCTCATTTTTTACTATTTATTTTAGATTTTCTTCCTAAAATTATCTAACTAAACATCTTAACAATGGTGGAATAACTTAAAGCGATTATTAAAATATAGATAAAATTTCAGGAAAAAAGAGTTAAGTTAATCAAATATAATTGTAAAAATCGAACACCTAATCGAGGCCGTTGTCTGCTGACTGCTAGCAGACGGAAATAAAAAGCACTACCTCCATATCAAAAGGGCCAAACTGGCGATAACAGCCTAAGCTATCACTCCCCAAGAGCGTAGTCACGTGGTATATGTTGGGACACCCTACAGACGAATTCTCTGTGGGTGAGCCGTCTACCTGTATATGAAGCGTGGGGCTGACACCATGGCCAACAAGCACACAAAGCCCATGCTTCGACTTGCCATTCCTTACCATCATCTCATTTGAAAACCATCAATTTCAACATTTACTACGGATCTGGCAACAACGCTGGTCGACTTCATCCACAGGAAGGAGAACTTTTCAATTTTTACCAAAAGTGTCCACTGACTTCCTTATTACGTCTTCAGCTTGGACAGCGTTCTTGACTGGGCATGGTCCATTTCGATCTTATCTTTATCGTTTTGGCCTCCAGGACAGTGACGAGTGTGAATGCTTACAAGCTACAGGCACGTCGGATCACTATATCTTTGACTGCACTGACTTCAACTTCCATCTCAATCGTCCTGCTGGAGAACAATGGCCACTTTGGCTGAAGCAAGGAGGTTAGAATAGAAGGAGGGAAGGTTCAACTCAAACGGTGAAGCTTGGCGGCCATGTTACTGTTATCAATGTGACTTGTGCAAGGAAGTCTGTAATTGTAACATTTTTTTTTTTTTTTTTTCCTTTTCTTTTTGAAGCATGTCTGCTTATATTGCATATGGATGCACAGATAGATTTTCGAAAAATATTCCTGGGATTACTATTCACTCGTAAGTATTTTCTTTTTTTTTATGTAATTTCATAAATATGTTAAAAAAATGTCACAATGTCATGTTGTTTTCTTTCCAGATGTGACAAAAAAGACTTAATAATAATCGAAACATGTTAAATACAATACATTTTAATGCTTTTTGCTTACAGCTGGTATCTTCGTTCTTTAACATACAATGATATATGCTAGGATTTTATGCTTGCTGTATAATTTGAACGCTTAGATAATTCGTTTTATAATTTTCACGAAAAGTAAGAAATCAATTGTTACTATTTTTTATGAATTGTAAAGGTGTTAAATAAAGCAACGCTTTCTTCTTTATTATTTATTATTCATTCTTAAGTTTTGTGAACTGTTTACGAATATAATTTGTGCATTTGATCAAGATAAACTGCTCTGTTGTTAAAATGTTTTTGCATAAGCTTACAAATTTCTGGGCCAGTATAGCGATAAACGTAAGTAAAATATTTACACAAACTGAACATGTGAAAAGATATATCCAAAAATTTATATAGGTATATTTCTGTAATTCAGCTTAATTCAAGGTAATTTCTTTGAGATTCATAAATATGAAACGCGCATAAACTGAAATCATTGAATTCACATAAATCTGTTTATTTTATTAATATTTATTTCTTGTTGATATAAGGTTGTTGATTGTGAAAAGAATCTATCTAAAACTTCATTTAAAAAAAAAAAAAAAGCAACATGTTACCATTTTTTTAGATAATTATTTGCTATTAATTTCAGGTAAAATGATTCTTTAATAAATTAATAATATTGCGAATAAATCAGAAATATCACTTCTTAAAGAAACAATTGGAAAGTATACCAGAGAAGTTGCTAATAAAACCTAAACAAATTCTAGAAATTATGCAGAAACATAATTTGTAAAGGCTTTAATGTTATGCACATGCATTTAGATTTCGAAATATTTCTTAATGATTTTCTGTACTTAGTAAATTACAGATATCATCTTTATAACTTTAAAACAAAAAACTAACAATAGCGAAGCATTTCATTATAAATTTAACATATTTTTACTGGAAAATTCATGCATAGAACAGCTTACAAACATGTACGTTTCACTACCGTATTGCAATGTTTTGAAGTAACAAACATGGACGCCGCTTGTTCCGTGGAGTTTCGTTCCCGGATAGTGGAGGAAACTGCGAACCCTCCCTCCTTCTATTCTAACCTCCTTGGGCTGAAGTATACCCTCTCCCATCCTCGACTCTATGGAAAACTCCTCACGATCATGTCCTGGTGCAATGAACGCTGTGCCTATCGCAATATTGCAGATAATCCCACTGACATTTCGCCAACTGCCTAGACACTTATGCAGCACTCCCAACTTTTTGAGCTCCACTCTATACATATACTCAACATGTACATATACACTCATATTCTCTGTCTCACTCTAAATTCACATTGTCTATATTCTTTTTACTGTATCAATACAATCACATCATTGTTATTTCTTTATTTCCTGTCTGTGTCTTTATGATATACTTACATATTATATTCATATCACTTGATTGTACTGTCTATATGTCGACAAATGTACTGTTTTTATCATAATCCCATAACTCCCTATTGTGTCCCTTCATATATGTGTCCAAAACTGTTGATCAAATAGAACTCTGAGTACTCTTCGACTGAGTCTATTGGACTATTACGATGACTAACACTAGAACTTTATGTGTCACTTTTGTATATGTCTAAAACTGTTCATCAAATAGAACTCTGCGTACTCCCTGACCCGAGTCTATTGAACTCTCAATAGAACTTTATGAGTTATTTAACCAAGTCTATTATATATACCATTCCTTCACCCTACTCATTCTAGTGTATGTTCTGCAATACACAATATTATTGCATAAATTATATCTTCTATATGCTCCTATAT